TCCATTTTGAATTAATTTTTAATGTGTCTCCAATACTCTCAGCACACGGGAGTTCTTTCTAAGCTTTCTTTGATTTTTATTATGGCCTCCAAAATGTTATCTGTGATCATAAGAGGACTGGCAGGCAATGCACCCACACTATATTTACAAACTATCATGTTTAAAATATGTTACACTGTTATTTTTGTGCTTTTTATCAACGAGGTCATGACATCGTGTTCCAAGATACTTATGAGTACCCCTAGATACAATGTACCGATAGGTGACGACTGTGTCAAATAAAGTTCAGGATTTTCTAGGTCAGCTTTTCAGAAATCTACACACATGGCCGACATAGAGCCTGGCAAAAAAACTTGTTAGAAAAATACTAGTAACCCAATGATTGAGTGCTGAATTGATTGAATTTTTACCTCAACAGACCTATAGGTGTCTCGATGGATGTGGGCGACTTCTTGTCAAAAAACACTTAAACCGTTCAACTTGTTCTGTAGATACCTTGATTAGGTATAGATGGAAATTTGTTCATGAGAAGTCAATCCACCAAAAAAATTATACAAATTAACTTCCAAAAACTATAAAAATGCTTAAATGATTGACTTTTACTAAGACACTGTAGAACACTTCTGCTATAGAACATTATCAACTTGTTTTGAGGAAGACAATACAACCTGTGTTTATGAATGTCTGTTCCAATCAATATCTCAAGAACTAATCAATAGTGTTCAATAATGCTTTGTGATTAATTTTTCAGTAGAAATCTGTGCATGTTATACTAATGTATAAAAATGTTATACACTACCCTACTCCCAAATGAGTGACAGAATTGGTCTATTTTTTAAACCAAAATCATTTTGTACAATATATATTTTTCTTTATTTTCCCCGTTAGCTACAGTTCTTAAAATATTATTTATTGTGTAAAATATTATGAAAATTAAAAGCCTAAAGGGACCCTGTGTATGTGTGTGAAAAGTTTACAGTTCAGCCTTTGGTCAAAAGTCGGGGTGGGCGTTTGCCCGGGCATGGGCTCTCATCAGTATAAATACGGTATATAAATTTGTCAACATCTGTAATTTGTCCCAAATCTACAAGCACAGTTACAATGTGGTGAAATCTCAGACAATAAATTCGTCTCTTGATGTTTGTCATAGCTGCCTTTTGTCTTTCCACAAGCGGTTTGCAATTCCGTGTTGACGCCTCGATCACTTGGTAAATTGATGAAACAACCGTAGCAGTGTTTCAAGTCTGCACATCCCAATTTTTGATTTCCTTTCCTTTCCTTTTCTGTAATTGTCTCCATGTTTTTAAAACATAGGTAGAATAAAATATTGCCTGTAGATTTTGATCAATCAATCAATCAATCAACAAAAGCTCCAGGAGTTTCATAAAACTACTGTCAAATAAATTAATAAATATCTTCTCATCTCTTCCAGATATCTGCACCTCTTAAAGAAAGTGTTCGGGATATGCTAGTGAAGCATCATCTGTTTAGTTGGGATCTTGACTGAAACACACCAAAACACACTGCCATCACGAAAACGACTCTACATATACTTGATCTGTGTTGCTGTGCCATCCTGTCTGTGTATGTGGTGACAAGAAGTGGACTTATAGATTTTCAATTTGCATTGTAAATTTAGATAGTAAAAAAAACAAAACAAAAACAGTCACATGGTATGAAACCCAATGCAATGATATGCTTAACAATGTGGAATAGTGTGTTTTCCTCGGAGTCAATTCTTACAATGTGTAAGTGAATTCCGCAAATACATTGGCAAATTATGGGGTGGGGTATCAGAAATCAGCTGTCTTTATTTTCACTTCTTTCACTCTGTGGCATTGCTGGAGTTCTTTGCATCTGTGCATCATCTGTTGAAGGATTCACTGCCTAAAATATCAGTATTATGGTGAGAAAGAGAGAGTAAAAAAAACAGGTTGCTGAACACAGAAAAAGGGGAGACAGTGCTCGCTCCTCTCCCACAGTGATGCATGCATGCCTACACCTCATCCTCGACCACATAGGAGTTATTTGCATTTCTCAAATAAAAAGCAGAATTGTTGTTGATGAATGTCATTTTTAATATTTAACACATATTTATGAATACATATATGTATTATTGTATTTCCCTTTTTGTGTGTATATTTATCAATTTTCTTTCTGATGGTCACACTGAAACCGCTGCATTGGTAGTCAGTTTTGTACACCTTAAAAACATTGCCAGATAGTCTATATGTGTGGCTTAGCATATCACTGGCATAGGATTGGCAAAGCATATATGTACATTGTAGCAACATTTACAATGGCACTCCTCGATGAATCAAAAACACATTTGGGGTAACATGGAGTATGTTTGTTTAATGTTTTATGCTGATATGCTCACTCGATTATGATCTATCGAGAAGTAAATTTGTTTTAGCCACATACATAATATTTTTCGTACAATTAAAATGATATAAAATGAATATCATTTGAATAAATAGCACATGCTATAATTTTACATATGATAATTTGCATACAATGTACAATTACATTGTAATCAAGTGTGTACTGTAAAGGGATTAATTATTCACTGGGTTTTAATTTGGCTTTTTTCGCTGACTGAAAAATGCGCTAAATTAAAACCCAGTGAATATGTAAAATTGTGCTTAGAACACATTATCTAAATGATAAAACTGTGAATTTAAAACCCACTGAATATGTCTGAAATGGTAAATCAGCGAAATTTAAATCCAGTGAAAATTAGTCATTTTACAGTATACAGTAAATAGTGAGACACGCTCTCGTCTTGAGACTTGTATTGCAAGCTAACAAAAATCGCCTTGTGTCAGATTTGAATTGTACCAGAGATCATACATACTGCAGAAAATGTAAATTTTAATTCATGTCGTCGACCAGTAATAATAGTGCAGTGGTGCTCGTTTACATATCTCAAAGTGAGGTTTCCATTCAAAATGAATTTGTCTTCAAAGATTTACTGTAATGCTACAATCTTACAATAATCCATTGACGTCGTGATTTTTGACAGTTAAATCGGGACATAACAGAATGGTCACAAATACACAGTACTGTAAACCTTTTTTTTCTGAAAATGATAACTATTTATAGGGTACATTACATTGCTGGAAGTAATGGTCATTGTTTGTTGATGTGTGTAAATGAAATGTCACAAGAACTCTGCTGTCCTGAGGAGAAATTACACGACTGACTGTACTTTACTGAATGCACAGTTTTAATCAGTCTGCCAACTGAATGCAAAAATGAAACCTGTTTCATTCCCGCAGTTAGTCGGCTAACAATTGCACCAGCACAACCGGTTAAAATTGACGAATTACAGTTGGTTGTTTAATTTCTTCTTTAAGGACCCACATAAAATATTCATTTTACGATTAGCTCTGAGTGAAGAAATTCTTGAATGTTCCATCTCCTGCAAAATACTGTGGTTTATGCAGTAAGTGATTAACTGTCATTACACCTTCTTCCATATTTATCAATTATCAGTCTCTGTGTGCTATGAATTTATGTTGTTGAATGATTGTATCTACTGTATGGTATCTTGGTTCATTATCAAATCACCAGCTGCTGCCCTTGGAACAGCAATATACAGATAAAATTGTATTGTTTACTTTTTTTTGGTTTATTTCTTTACTGCCATTTATTGAGTCTTGTATCTGATTGTATCCTTTTGTAGAGCACAAACGTAAAAATGATTAGGTTAGATGCACATGTTAAAAATAGACGATGTTGTGACCAACCGATATAATTTATCCATGTGTGCATTATGTTTTTAGCTTCATTGATGACGTAAGCGATCAATGAAAATGAGATGTGCAATTATTAACATGTTGAATGTTTTGTTGAGGTAGAAACAGCTGATGTAATTTTTTCTTGGCGATGTTAAATCTACAACAAATACTGTAGTGAAATCGGCAATATGGGTGGGGGCGGGGGGTTGTAGTGAAATCAGTGATATTTGGGGGGGGGTTCTGGTAAGAATTGTGCTTCCATATGACATGTGAGGAAATCAGGCATATCAAAACAGATTTTTTATTTTAGCTGTATTTATTTATTTGTTTGATATGTTTTTGTATAGGAGTCCCACCCCCTAGATAGATCAGAAGTTTCCTTAACTATATATATATAGATTGTGTACAAAGTGACTTTTGTAAATTCTATCAATAAACTTACTGATAGTAGTCGTGTCTCTCAGAGACTATTCAACCCTTGGGTTGCTTTGTAATTCGCAATGTATGTAATTGTGCTTCGCTCAGAAACCAAAATATTTTGTGCATACAGGTGACATTTTCTGTAATTCCAATATGCAGGTTTTTTAAAAAAAAACACAAAAATTAAATTCTTGAATTTTGGAATGCGACCTGACTTTGCGTTTGGTTAGTTGCTTATTGTAGGTAAATATACCTATAATTAATTTTAAATTTTTAAAATTTATCTTTACCAGAGCTGTACTTGGTGAATAAAAATTGTAAATATTTAAAGGTGGCTGTATCTCATGAGCAGGGTGGGAATATGTTGCAACATAAATCCATGGTTGTCTTGGGTTGACCTTGACTGTGATCGAGCATGCCCATGTAGAATAGTGTTTACAATTTACTGCAAGAAATTAAATTATTACAAAGTATTTCTCTGAAAAATAAAAATTATCTTTGAGCAGCAGTTTACTGTATTTTTAATGGTTTATTGTATGAAGAGTGATTCTTGTGTCTGCATTTTCCGTGTTTTCATCAATTCAAATCCACATTCATCTTTATTCATTGTTGATAAACAAATGCAATATTAAATACAGTGAACATCAGAAACCTGGGGACTTTATTAACATCTTATGAATATTAATTTTTTTAAATAAAATTTATTGTTAGATTTTAAACTGACTAATCCAGAAATAGTAATGTAACTTCGTTATAATATTAATGAGTTATTTCAATGTTATCCATTCAGCAAATGCTTCCTTTCAAATAAATTGGTGGTCATAAGAATCTGTTGGTACGGCAGGTATTTTCGCTAATAAGTTTTGAAACATAAAATCAAAAAATATTCTACAAGATCAAGCAATGAGAATGACTTACCATTGACATCTTAAATTTGTAGAAAGATTACAAAATCTATTATCTAAATTGAAGACCCAAATGATAAAAAAAAAATGTAAAATGTTAAAAACAGATTGGCTTCTTGCCTAATTAAACAGCTGCTAATAAAATAACTTCCAAATGGGAAACGCGTATTTGTTTGTTTCATCAACTTCAAAAACCTTTGGCTCAGTTCAGCACCAGGGTTTACTTTACAAAATCATCGGAGAATTTGGTTTTACTGTAAACTTATAAAGTACCGGGTAGATCAATCTACCAACTTGGCACTTAGAAAACAAACAAATATTTTCTGTTTAAAGAAACATCAGGCAAGGGAATGACCTGATTCCCCCTTGTTTTAATATATTTGTAAATGATAACAAAAAAAGACTGCAAAAAATTATCAATCAATATTCTAACTTAAGTCACTAATAGAACTTGGATTCACTTTGAGTTTATAAATAATTTTAAAGAAGTTATCAAAAAATATATGAATATTTTGCAAAGATCTGATAAAAGAATGACAGATCAAGCTTTTGGTATAGGTAATTGTTCTTTGACGTTGTTTGGGTGTCGGCAATTTATTCACGCCTATTACGTTTATACACAATAATTATTAATAATATTAGGTATGACTGGCTGTCGACAGTCTAATTTTGACTGAAAATGACATTTTCAGTTTTTTCTTGAAAGTCATTACTTTAAATCAATATAAAGGATGTAGTAACCATCAATGCAATAAGGCTGTCATCATCCCCTGGTATGTATGACATTGGCAAATCCCCCAGTTGTTTCCCCGGGGTGGGGGTGGCTGAAGTAAAACCTTCAAATTTTGGCCACAAGTCATTCATTCCCACCTGTGGTAATATTTATTATGTTATATTGCTTGTTATTGTCATAATGAGGCACCTGTGCACCTTCCTTGTGTGACAACTAGATCTTCCTTAGACAATAAAGTTTTGTAATAATTCAAATAGGAAATACTAATTAGAATAATACTTCAGCTGCAACAGGGTACCCTACCCTCCTGACCTAATTGTGTTGTCTAGTGTTACCTTGTTGACTATCAGAACAAGACCTAGTTGTGTTACACTGACAAGCACCTAACAAACCTAACCGGAAGTGGTTTCCTTACTACTCGTCCTCTGGCTTGACTACCGGTACTTCAGTTACCATGACACTAAACAAAAGTAAATGGCTGAGGGTTGTTATGATCTACATTGACATCAATAGACCATTTTCCGTTGCGAAATAAAGAAATTCTAGTTCAAAATCAAATCGTTCGATTTTTGCGACAGACGTTCGGCGCGCGTCTTTCATGCATCTCGCGAGATCTCGCAATTGTACGGAAAATCACCTATTAATACCTTACAGTCACCTTATCACTGATGAACTCGCCCTACAGTTACCATTCCTAGGTACATCTATTACAATGTACTTCAAAGAGCAAAATTTTAAATTTGAGGCACACCATAGTGATACCTAGGCCTATAGGTAGTGCTCCATTCAACCACCATTTTTTTCTTCTCGCAGCTCCCAGGTAGAAAAAATTGAAGAGACACAATATAGTTACCAGGGTTATTGTTTTAGCGATGTCTTTAAGAAGCATTATCTGATGGCCCTAACAAGTGTGTGCTAGTTCTGTTACCTCTTATTGTAATTAACATTGTTGGAGGTTTGTTCATCATGCTTAATAGAGGAAACAATGTCAACAAGTTTGAGTATGCTTGTTTGTATTTATATTAAAAATTGTTGTGGTATGAGAGAAGATCCGAAAAGTATCGATATTGATTGTACTGAAAAGCTTTATTATGACTTCTTATCAAATATCTATAGTGACTGTCCTAGGGGGCTTTATTAAGAATCGCTATCAAGTATCTATAGTGACCTGTCTAGGGGGCTTTATTAAGAATCGCTATCAAGTATCTATAGTGACTGTCCTAGGGGGCTTTATTAAGAATCGCTATCAAGTATCTATAGTGACTGTTCTAGGGGGCTTTATTAAGAATCGCTATCAAGTATCTATAGTGACTGTCCTAGGGGGCTTTATTAAGAATCGCTATCAAGTATCTATAGTGACTGTTCTAGGGGGCTTTATTAAGAATCGCTATCAAGTATCTATAGTGACTGTCCTAGGGGGCTTTATTAAGAATCGCTATAAAGTATCTATAGTGACTGTCCTAGGAGGCTTTATTAAGAATCGCTATCAAGTATCTATAGTGACTGTCCTAGGGGGCTTTATTAAGAATCGCTATCAAGTATCTATAGTGACTGTTCTAGGGGGCTTTATTAAGAATCGCTATCAAGTATCTATAGTGACTGTCCTAGGGGGCTTTATTAAGAATCGCTATCAAGTATCTATAGTGACTGTCCTAAGGGGCTTTATTATGACTCTCTATCAAGTATCTATAGTGATTGTCCTTAGGAACATTACTATGACTTGCTATCAAATATCTATAGTGACTGTCCTAAGGAGCTAGATTATGACTTGTTATCAAATATTTATAGTGACAGTTCTAAGGGGCTTTGTTATGACTTGTTATCAAGTATTTATAGTGACAGTTCTAAGGGGCTTTATATGACTTGTTATCAAATATCTGTAGTGACTGTCCTAAGGAGCTAGATTATGACTTGTTATCAAGTATTTATAGTGACAGTTCTAAGGGGCTTTATATGACTCTCAATCAAATATCTGTAGTGACTGTCCTAAGGAGCTAGATTATGACTTGCTATCAAATATTTATAGTGACAGTTCTAAGGGGCTTTATTATGACTTGTTATCAATTATTTATAGTGACAGTTCTAAGGGGCTTTATATGACTTGTTATCAAATATCTGTAGTGACTGTCCTAAGGAACTAGATTATGACTTGTTATCAAGTATTTATAGTGACAGTTCTAAGGGGCTTTATATGACTCTCAATCAAATATCTGTAGTGACTGTCCTAAGGAGCTAGATTATGACTTGCTATCAAATATTTATAGTGACAGTTCTAAGGGGCTTTATTATGACTTGTTATCAATTATTTATAGTGACAGTTCTAAGGGGCTTTATTATGACTCGCAATCAAATATATGTAGTGACTGTCCTGGGGAAGCTTATTATGACTGGCTATCAAGTGTCTATAGTGACTGTCCTAAGGGACCTTATTATGACTTGCTATCAAGTATCTATAGTGACTCTCCTAAGAGGCTTTATTATGACTTGTTATCAAGTATTTATAGTGACTGTTCTAAGGGGCTTTATTATGACTCGCAATCAAATATCTGTAGTGACTTTCCTAAGGAACCTTATTATGACTGTTATCAAGTATTATAGTGACTGTCCTAGGGGGGCTTTATTATGGATCGCTATCAAATATCTATAATGACTGTCCTAAGGGGCTTTATTATGACTGGCTATCAAGTGTCTATAGTGACTGTCCTAAGGAACCTTATTATGACTGGCTATCAAGTGTCTATAGTGACTGTCCCAAGGGACCCTATTATGACTTGCTATCAAGTATCTATAGTGACTGTTCTAAGGGGCTTTATTATGACTTGTTATCAAGTATTTATAGTGACAGTTTTAAGGGGCTTTATTATGACTCGGAATCAATGATCTGTAGTGACTGTCCTAAGGAGCCTTATTATGACTCGCTATTACATATCTATATCGACTGTCCTAAGGGGCTTTATTATGACTCACTATGAAATACGTAATTGTATCTATAGTGACTGTCCTAAGCCTAAGGGACCTTATTATGACTTTCTATCAAGTATCTATAGTGACTGTCCTAAGGAGCTTTATTATGAATAGCTATCAAGTACTCGTATCTATCGTGACTGTCCTAAGAACCTTTTATGACTCGTTATCAAATATCTATAGTGACTTTCCTAAGAGACTTTATTATGACTCGCTATCAAGTATCCATAGTGACTGTCCTAAGGGACCTTATAATGACTCACTATTAAATATCTATAGCGACTGTCCTAAGGGACATTATAGTGACTTGCTATCAAATATCTCTAGTGACTGTCCTAAGGGGCTTTATTATGAATCGCTATCAAGTTATTATAGTGACTGTCCTAGGGGGCTTTATTGTGACTTGCTATCAAATATCTATAGTGACTGTCCTAAGGAACCTTATTATGACTTACTATCAAGTATCTATAGTGACTGTCCTAGGGAGCTTTATTGTGACTTGCTATCAAGTATCTATAGTGATTGTCCTAAGGGGCTTATTATGACTTGCTATCAAATGCATTGCGTCTACAGTGGCAGTTCTAAGGGGCTAGATTATGACTTGTTATCAAGTATTCAAAGTGACTGTTCTAAGGGGCTTTATTATGACTTGTTATCAAGTATTCAAAGTGACTGTTCTAGGGGGCTTTATTATGACTTGCGATCAAATATTTGTAATGAATGTCCTAAGGAACCGTATTATGACTGGCTATCAAGTATCTAAAGTGACTGTCCTAAGGGATCTTATTATGACTCGCTATCAAATATCTATATCGACTGTCCTAGGGGACCTTATTATGACTTGCTATCAAGTATCTATAGCAACTGTCCTAAGGGACGTTATTATGACATTCTATCAAGTATTTATAGTGAGTGTCTTAAGGGGCTTCATTATGAATAGCTATCAAGTACTAGTATCTATAGTGACTGTCCTAAGAACCTTCTATGACTCACTATCAAATATCTATAGCGACTGTCCTAAGGGGCTTTATTATGACTCGCTATCAAATATCTATGTGACTGTCCTAAGGGGCTTTACTATGACTCACTATCAAGTATTATAGTGACTTTCCTAGGGGGCTTTATTATGACTAGCTATCGAATATCTATAGTGACTGTCCTAAGGGGCTAGATTATGAATCGCTATCAAGTGTCTATAGTGACTGTCCTAAGTGGCTTCATTATGACTCACAATAAAATATCCATAGTGACTGTCCTAAAGGGCTTCATTGTGAATTGCTATCAAGTATCTATAGCGACTGTCCTAATCACTGCACATGCGTATTTAGGCTTACATATCTTCGTGTTTCGTTGAGTCGCAGACTACTGTAAAATACTTTATTTTAGCTGACATTAATTTTCACTGAAAAGAATTTTTGGGTGTTTTGTTTAAAATTCATTTTCACTGATTTTTGAATGTAAAATATAGGGGAAAAGGTATATTCACTGGATTTTACTGAATCACTCCTTAATCGAAATTAAAATATGTTATGGTAATTGCTTCTCACTTCATCACCATAATAGCCTTATTGCGACACATATGCAGAAAACATTTCCCCCTTTTAGATCAAATCCCAGATATAAAAGCTCGTTAAAAAAAATGGAGCGAAGAAATTCCATGTAATTTTTGTGGAATAGTAACTCAATTGATATGCTATCCAGTATCCCCATGTTATACATGATATGATCAAAGTCCAATCGTATTTAGCACGCGAGATGATAGTGCACATATTAGAAAAATATATAAAAAATATTTGACATTTTCTTATCATAATTCATCAGCACTCGTTCTCATTAATTCATTTGATGTTTATCTATCGATTTACAATTTTTGAATTTGTACAAATTTTAATCCTTGATTAAGCATAGTCTTATAAAATAATAGTGGTTTAGTATTATTATGTTTCGCAGTAAAATTTTTAATCATTGATTACGCATCGTCATTGATCTATAAAATAACATTAGTTTAGTATTATCTTTTGAAGCCCTATGCTAGTATAGAGGTTAATGACGATGTGTGGTCCATCCAACGGTTCGCAGTTGCACCGACAGTATTAATCGTACTTATGCGTAATCTCGCAATATGGTACATGGCTTATAATGTTGTTTCTTGTAGCTGGTGTGAATTATTTAATATACAGATTTCAAATAATAATAGTAATATCAAGTTTTGTAATGCACCAAACAACGGCCGTTGCTAGGGAGGCAGTACTTAGCGATGAACCTGAGCGTTGCAAATTTGTGCCGCGGTTTTGGGCGTGTGCGTAGTCAAGTCACTGGTGTGCATATGCGAGTCGCACAACATACTAGTAATATATGTCGTGATTCAGTTGTTTTATGTCTGTGTCGAACGTTATATGCACTGCTAAAATGGAAGCATAGTAAATTTAACTTATCATCATGGCTACCACGAAATTCTTCTGAACGGAAACAGAACGCGTATCAACAAATATCACATCGTTTATGACATCGTCTATCGAGTACAGACACGTGCAGACAGGCATACATTCACACATACATACATACACACACAATTGTTATACGGTAGTTCTCTTTTTGGAGGATGTGGTTGGCCCTGAAAAGGGCCGTTTGGTTTGGGTTTGTGAAGTATGCATTCAGTCGCTTACTTCTTTTTTGAAGCGGCCTTCTTCTTTGGTGACTTCTTTACCTTCTTGGCCGGAGCCTTCTTTGCTGCCTTTGGCTTCTTCGTTGGTGTCTTTTTTGGTTTCTTTTCAGCCTTGGCTTTTGGTTTCTTTGCTTTTGGCTTCTTTGCTTTAGGCTTCTTTTCCTTTGGTTTCTTGGTTGCCTTCTTGGCTGCTTTAGGCTTCTTGGCCTTTGGTTTCTTGGCCTTAGGCTTCTTTGGTTTCTTCTCTGCCTTTGTCTTGGGGTTCAGCTTGAAGCTACCAGAAGCACCCTTGCCTTTGGTCTGTACCAATTTGCCGCTGGTTACACCACTCTTGAGACAACGACGGACAAACGGGGTGATTTTTTCGACATCGACTTTGTAGTTGGCACCGATGTATTTCTTGATTGCCTGCAAAGATGATCCATTACGCTCTTTCAAGTTGGTAATGGCCGCGACGATCATATCGATGGTCTTTGGGTGAGCTGCCGGTGCTCTTGGCTTCTTCGGCTTGCTAGCCTTTTTGGCTGGTGCGGGAGCTGCTGCGTCAGACATGTTGTCAGCGAGACTTTGTTTACTGAAGTAGAATCAGAAAGCAAATTGAATTTCCCGCTAACTACGCCGCCTCTTATTCACTCATTGCGAACGTCAGAGAGAACATCATATCGACTAAGTGCGCGCCACATAATGGACGACCACTTTGAGTGTCAATATGTGCTTCATACCCGAAATAAAACCATTCGCTCTCCTCCGTCGAACACATTTGCGGAACCCCTTGACACTGTTTCAAAAACTGAGACTATATACTTCAACTTGATATATCATATATGGCGTATACTTTTAAATGCATCGAATTATTTCAATTCAAACTCTGTGTAACGCGCTTGTCAAACTGCATCCAGCGAGTTCGGAGAGGGATATTTTAACAAAGCTAATTCTCGCGCAACAAAATATACACTTAAAACCACACTTTAGTGTATGTACTTGTCGTAAATATTCATTTTATTTGTAAATAAGGATAGTTTTTACAACTTTTCAGCGTTTGAAAAAAAAATGACAAGCACATTGTCGGCCATTTTCATCATAAACATGACGACTGCCTTCTACCAATACTCGTGATTACAGGACCATTTACTCGTCGGTAATCAACAAAATTGTAAGATAGTTCATTCATATTGTATAAAATATCTTCAAAAATAGTTATTCGTTGTCACAGCCATGCATATTTCAACGGGTTTCCCACTTTTTGGCGAGTTTTCGTTTATTTACATTTGCCGCAACCAAGGATGCAATCTGCATATGAAATTAACTTCCGCCATTGGCTGCCGATGTTTTTCGTCTGCGAACTCTGCAATTTTGTAGATTTTGATCAATTATTCGTGATATTTTCACTACTTATTGTTGGATTGTGAGGCCAACCATATTTGTAGACTCTATAACGGACTAACTAGGCTGATTTTTTTGTATTTTATCGCGACTTTCATTCATGTCTGCGATGCAATTATTATAGGATGACAATGACAGCTTCAGCGACCAGGGACAGGTCATGTTACGACGGATTGCCTGAAGATTACCACGGATAGTATCTATTCTAATTGCTGATATTATTATTCACATCGTGCCGTTATTAGTTACAACGGTCAGTAAAAAATATGCTTCGTTTCCTCAACAGTGCTGACTATTCTCGCTGATTTTGGCGATACACTTTACTTAGTTCAGGGTCAAATGGCCACTCGTACGTGTCTCAGCAAATCCCTATGACTTTGGGACCATTATGTATCTATTACAACTATAACTTATGTATTTCAAACAAATGGTGTCGATGAATATTTCGAAAAAGAATCGCTATAAAACAACGTATATGTTGACTTCGTTGTTGCAGCTGTTAAGTGTATACCACAAATATTCTTGCCGCCATTTTCTGGGGGCCTGGATTTTCTGAAAGGGCAATGGGTCATCACAGCCAATAACGTATACAATAGTATTCCTGTTGTGGTATCCCGTATATTACCTGACCATGTTTATAAAATGTACACAAATATAACATAAATACATAAATATTTATATTATGTAATGTTTAAACTTTACTAAAAATTCTGGGACGAGGCCGTAAATAGAAAACTATTTATCTGACTGGAACGCCCGCCGCTTGCCTCGATATTTCGAAAATACTACCTCTTCGAGAACATTATACATTACATGATTAAATGCAAATTTTATCTTGGATAGTGGATGCAAATACACAGAGTATGTGAATAATAGTCTCTTCGTGGACACGAGATACCGTAATCCTGAAATTTGTGAATAGGGCAACTTGAATGGGTCCCTTTTCGATTTTCCAAAACAGAACCCGCCAATATTGAGAAAGAACACTGAGAAAGAACTTAAAACAAAAATGACCGATTGACCGAATTGCGCATAGACGTGAAAAGTGCTAACAATTAAATAATGTACACATCAGCATACGCACTAAAATTATTTCAATGTTTTATCATCTGTTTAGAATGATAATGGGGATGTTAGTGTGTGCCAGTGTAGTCAGATGTTTTACGTTTCATTTGTTGAAGGTGTCTGATTGTGCAACATGCTCGTTTAACTGGGAAAGGCGCCTCGTTCCCCACTTCAAAAATGTTTGCACATTGGGAGTGTCCTAGTAGACATATATGTACCCATCACTCTTTATTTGTGTCAAACACTAATCTCTACACTAATTTATTCATGGACAGCA